CGTTCATAGTACTGCATTGATACAGCATATAAATAATAAAGTGGATGTCATCTGCTAACTCAGTTTGGTAATACAATAAATCCTGTTGCCACTGTTCGAAAATTCTTGGATTCAAGAAATAGGAAAAAATACAAGAATATTTTGTTTTAATTTCATAAATTTCTTGAAAATGTTTTGATAGTATGCGAATTTTTTCGAATATCTCTTCTTTACTATTGTTTTGAGATAGCTTGATGTTTTCAAAACAACTTGCCATTTTCTTTTGAGCTAAATCATTATAGTATATGACACATTGTATTAAACTGTTAAGTATAGACGTACAATCATTTTTAAATGAAATACGGATGGTTTTACAAGCATTCAAATATTGGAATGCTTTTTCAAATTTTTTTTTTCTTTCTTCCTCCATTCTTCAATGTTGAACGAACCTTTAATAATGACACAAACTTCATTTATCTCACTCTCAAAGCGATCATTAACTTCAATTAAGTATTGACTTATGTCTGGAAGAAATTTCTGTAAAGGTTTCATTTCCTTGATTTCCAATACTATGTTATAAGTTGAGCTGATTTTGTTATAATTATCAAGATCTAAAGTCACTTGCATGACAGATATTTTCATCTGTGTGATATGTTCAATAAGCTGTTCTTCCACATCCCTCATGACGTCGAAGTATTCTCCATCTCGATATTTTTCTATCCATTTGGCACTTTTTAGACTCAACAAACAATTTGTAAGTCTTTGACAGTTAACTTTTCCTTCTTGTTGAAATAAAATTTTCAAAAGCTTCTCAGAATTTACCTTTGAATTACGTAGATATATAACTATTTTCTCTAATATACTACAGTAATATTGATTTGCTTCCAACTGGATGATAGAAATTGTTCTGATTGAATCTAATGCTATTACGAATTGTTCCCGTTTATGAAATGCATTGTCATTTTTAAGCTCGGTATTTATTTTTTCAACAATCTCTTCGAAATAGCTTGAAATTCTTGGTAAAAGATTTTCACAAATCTTATCGATTTCTTCTTTCAAGATGTGGTTGAAAAGCGGTTATGTTCTTAACAGTTTATAACATATGAACGCATCTGTTTATAAGATCTATATCATTGTTATGTAATGATTTTTTATCAAACATTTGACTTATCTTTCTCACAGCATCATTTAAATGATTAAAAAAATATTCTTTCGTTTGAGCATATTTCTTTTCCATATCTAAGTGACCTTCTAAAATAGTTAATGCTTCATGTAGTTTTCTAATATCATTAACACTCTCATCAAACTTATTGGATGATACTAATCTTTTGAAAGAATCGATCACTGATTCGGATTTTTCAGTAAACACTTGGCAAATATTTTTATACTTGTTTGGATCAATATCTGGAAGCGAATTTGAGAGAAGTTTTATCTTGTCCAGGCTCATCTTCACTACGCGATCATTGATTTCTTTTTCTTTTAATTTGTTTAACATGACATCCACTTGATTACTTATATGCTGTATCAATGCAGTACTATGAACGACTTTATTTCCTAAATGCTTTTCTTTTAATTGGTCTGCAAGCTTAGCATGATCAATATATGTTTAATACCGACGAATATCTTCACTACTCAAAGTTGTTTGACTCATGAGAGAATGTTTCATATCTGAAATGCCTTCCTCATAGTCTTTCGACAGATGTGTAATTATACAGTCAACACACTGATCGTAAGTTTCTTTGATGAAGACTCGCTTAAGTGTCACACATAACCATTTTAATTGATCAAGCTTATACTTAACAAATGAACAGTTAGAACGCTGAGTTGCAGACATAGTACTTGACTGATGTTTTCTGAGTTGATTTTTTAAAGCAGCTATTGACTTTTCTGTGAAAGAATATTTAAAAGCATCATCTTGCTGGTCAATAACCTTGAGTTTTGCGAGGTCATAGAGAATCGCATGAGCATTGTTCTTCAGTGAATCTACCACTCGTGCTCCTCTTCTCGTTTTGTCTATCATATCGTCAAGCAAATTGCAGAAATCAGGATCATTCTTGTCCACATTATTCAGTTCGTCGTTTAGGCGGACTAGTGATTCATAAATTGTATATCTTTTATTCGGAGGAAATTTTGTAAAAATGTATGAAAACATTCGTATGTGCTCTTGAGTTTTTGGAAACACCTGTATTAATGTACGAGCTACATCTTTCAAACCACTAAATCTATCGCCCATGCTCAGATAACTAATTACGACAACGAGTTTGACACTTTTACATCCTCTTACTGCTCTACGGATACCTATCTCATTAGCGATATCTACTTCAGGTCCTCTAGTATCGTTGAATCCTGGACTATCACATAACAAAACACTATCCGTAGTAGAGCTGTCCACATCTTTAAAAAACAATCTAACAGGTGTGATACATCGAGTTTCAGATCGAGCAAATGATGAAGTAGTTATCTTTTCTAGATCTAGATTTTTTAATTAGACAGGATAAATATGATCACACTTTTTTAGTTTTCCTTTCTGTAATTTCGAGTCTCCAAGAAAATGAATCATGGTTGATTTCCTTGTTCCTTTTTCTCCAACCAGCAGAATGATGTCTTCTCCCTTTATTTGCTTTACAGCACCGTCAACTTTCTTAAAAAGCCTTAATAAGTCTTCTACATTTAATGGTTTAATTGACTTTAAAATCGTTTCCAGTGTAGTAGAGACGAATTTCCAATTTTGATTATTCATACATTCAAATACTATCCCTCTTGGCTTTCGGATCTCTGAAGGCACTTGTTCTTCAGTTTTTAACCGTTCATTCAAGCTTTCAAATTCTCCTTGTATCTCGGTCTCTATGCTTTTTGGTACCAGTATATTATCTTCAGAAACTATCACCTTTCTAATGAGTTGCAGAGAAATACGAAAGAGTAGACGAATAACAGATTTCTCTAAACATGGGGGCATCAGATAGAAGTCATCATATAAGTTTATCGCCCTTTCTTTGGCCTTCTCATCTTCTTTTTGCTTATTATTGGCGAAAGTTGAGGATTGAGGAGCAGTATCTTGCGGGTGGAAAGTCGAGCCACTCCCTGGATCACTACGGTTTGTTTTTGCAGCATTATCTGGCAGGTCCGATTCAGGTTTTTGATATTGTGCATCCGTAATTTGTAATTCTTCAACTCGTTTTAATAAGTTTTGAATGGTCAACTCTTCACTTTGTGTTGGATCATTGTGTGCTCGTAATTCTTTCAAAGATAAATTTACCCTCGGATACAATTTATTGAATTCTTGCTGTATTGTGCCAGAAATAAACTGCGAATTTCGTACTGGATCAATATATTCGGCTCGTTGAATCTCTTTTGCCCCTTTAAATTCTATTAATATTGCAGTCCAATGAGAATTTTCCAAATAATAAGGAATAAGTACAATACGTTTCCACATGTGTTTTTGGCTTTCCTCTTGCAATCGTTGCTGCAACTGACCGTTCACATTAGCATCAACAATTTCTAATTCGAGAATTGGTTTCGAGAAACCTTGAGGAAACTTTTCATGTGTTAAATTTTCCAATTCTGCTGTCAAACCACTCCGAATTTTCACATGCTGGTCAGTTGAGCTGTCAAGTTCTGCCGCCGTATTGGTATTTCCGGAAGACAGCCATCCTCTCAGCTGATTAAACATAATGAATCTTTAAGAGTACGAATCTTTCCAAAAGACTGTCCAAAAGAGAATGATATTTTCTTCATTATTTCAAATTAGAGAGTTTTTCATTTTTTCAAAATTTACACATAGGTGAAAAAAATATATAATCCACTCAAGAAATGGTAAAACTTTTCTTTTTCCTGTGTGGATACATTTTCTAACAGGTCACTCTAACAGGTTTTAGAAGTTTCACACTTTAATCATGTCTGACAAGATGTAGAAAAGAATAAATGTGGAAACATCGGATTTAAATCCGAGTGTTATGTGTACTTCAAAAAGTAAGAATAATTGATGACAGATTGATTTTGATCAAACTGTCTAAATTGAGTCATCATAGCATGTCTAAACATCGAACTTATCCCAGCAAGCCGTTTTTCCTAAAACTCGATTTCTATTGGTTACTGGTCAACGAATAGGATTTTGAGGCAAGTGGAGCTCAGAATCAAGTTCTCCATCTCAGAAAATCTTTGTTCAAGTTTGATAAAACCTCGAAATATCGCTTCTCTGATCGGAAAACGGGGCTTTAATTGACGACCAATCAGAGCGTGGACAAACATAAAAGCAATTTTCGTTTAAGTATCTGGTACTAGTTGACTTTATACATAGTGCCCTCGCCCTCAAACAGTGCTGTATGTGAATGGTGTATCTCTCCAATGTTTCAAGTAAAAACTGGTGCCAAGTATCTTTGCAATAGATGACTCAGTCTTCTTGTTTCTTAATGTTTTATATACCATTTTGTAGCGCATTAAATTCTCTATCTTATGGTATATAATAGTTCAGTTTTTTTTTAATTATGAGAGAAAAAGTTTTTTACGAAAACCGGGATAGGTCAATTTTCGCTTAGGAAAGCACAGGAAATAATGACATTTTTGCAATATCTCAGCAATTTCTTGACGAATCATTTCCATCTTCGAACTCGACCGAGATATCAATGAGACAATTCTATGCACAAAGTTTTATGGCAATCGGCTCATTTTCTCAAGAGTTATCGTGTAAACGGCCGACCGACCGGACACACTGGCCGATTCTATAGTGTACTCACTTTTTGAGTATGCAAAAACACAGTTAAAAATAACACGAAAACAAGACGTCTTAGGGTTCTCAAATAGATGTTATTAAAATTCGAGACAATCTTCTATACAATTATGAATCTAATAATAATAATACACCAAAACTGATTATGTAGCAGTATTGATCGTTTTAAACTTGCATATTCAGCCAAAATGTGTGTTTGCTTCAAGAACGTTGAACACGTGCATGAACATTGTCTTAATTAGATAGGCTTTGTACGGATTCACTCTTGCATCTGAAGCATATCTCTGCTCTATCTCTATCTGAATATTGTGTCACTGCTTGTCATCATATTAAAATGTTATGTTTAATATGAAGCACTAAAGTAAAAAATTTGATTGCTTTTGTGTTTACCGAATCTACACTAAGTATTCTTGTGCCATCAAAGATGACAACATACAAGGGTCTCTGTGTTGAACAGGTATCCGTTTTCTTACTTGGGCTCCGATTAGAAATAAATCTAGATCATATTGAAGTGCAAAAAAAAATAAACCGAGCGCATTACTATTGCAGAAGAAGCAGAGATGGCTGATTCACTCATCGGACTCGGAATAGAAGTAACACGAATTTTTGTTCCAATAATCATCATTCTGGATGCACTGGGTAATGGACTCAACATCTTCATACTGACTAGACCCTCTTTCAATCGTCATGCTTGTTCTCTCTATTTTCTTGTGTTGAGTATCAATAATATTTTCTATTCGACTGTTTTGCTTATCTTTAATCTATTGTCTGATGGGTATCAACTCAGCTTGTCTGAATATTCCAATATTGCTTGCAAATTGATTAGCTATCTTCTGAATCTATGTCCAAATATCTCCGTATATTTAATCCTATTTGCCTCAGTAGATCGCTTTTGTGGCAGTTCATCCAATGAACGACGACATAACTTCAGTAGTGCACGCATAGCTGGAGTTATCATTATACTTCTTATCAATGCATTGGCAATATTTCAAATCGGCGTACTAATAACTTTCGATCTGCAACAAATGGATAAGCTTCGATGTCTACCTAATATCGATACAGTATTCAAACAAGGGCTTGTCATTATCCAAGTGATTCTGTTTGCCATAATTCCACCTTGTCTCATGATAATTTTCGGTTTGTTAGCCATCTACAATGTGAATCGATTGCAGATAAGTCCAGTCGTAGCTACAGGTCGTCGTACTGAAAAGCAACTGATTCGAATGCTTCTAATTCAATTAACTATTCATCTTATTCTCACTTTACCTTTCTGTTCGCTCTTTCTTATGTTGATTCTGCCCATCGGCGTTCAACCTACTATTATGTTCTCTTTTCTTTTCATTATCTTCAAACTACCGTTCTATCTGTCGTTCGTCACACCATTTTTTCTTTATATAGTTTCAGCTCGAATCTATCGAAATCAACTTATCCAGTCAGCAAAGATTATATTTCATTGTCAATATAACAACCGAGTCTTCACCACGACAAACTAAATCTTGCTATTTCAATGACTGCATCATTACTAATGTACACAACTCAACTCAATGGTTCGCAACAAAGAATAACTAACAAGATTCGATTTACGTTTGATGACATCCAATATTGACTGTATGAATCTATTATCACGATTCAATCTTCTCAAAAGCACACTTTCAACCTGCATCGAAACCCTTTTTTAAGTTTCCTACGATACTTTTTTTCCATAGTTTCAAAAAGGTTTTTGTAGTCGGAATTTGTACCAAATTCAATATATTACTGCTTAGTTTATGTATCTCCATTCGACCCCTATTCTATCTATCTATATTTAAGCCTTACTACTCAATATCTATCTAAATATTTCTAATCCAATACACCTATAACGTATCATGAAATTTTTCTATGTCTAACCCTTATTTCTATATCTTGTCCGCTGTATCTAAAATCAATTCCGTTAACTTCGTTCAGCTTCTCTATGTATGTCTAATACGTTTTCTCTCTATCTAATCCTATATTGCCATATCTAACTCCTTATTTCTACGTAAATGTAGCCCCCTGTACCTGTGTTCAATGTTCTATACACGTATATTCTCTTGATCAAAATAAACGGAACACGTTATTTTCCCTGTTATTGCTTCCTACTATTCTTGTTTGATCTCATTTATATACCACAGATATATACTCGACTGCTCAAATTATTCTGAAAATTTTAGTCGTACAGAGTGAGAATTGGCGGAGAAATCTACCAATATATCTTAAGTACTCATGTATCATTGAAACCAAAATTTGATGTTTTATTGATTTGATTTCTTTGTTGTTTCATATTTAATTTCGAATTTCTGGTAATAGCTAATTCCTTCTTAGACACGACTTTCCAAAGAGACATCTTTGGTGATATTTATATATCAAATGATCAATTATTGAAACAAAAAATTTCCTCCAATAACTGCAGCGATAAATGGATACCAGTAATATATTATCAATAAGAATTATCATGCTACATTTTGATAATAATTTTCTGCTTCAACAAATTGCACGTATATTAAAATATTCTGTTTCTACTGTTAATCGAATCATAAATTTGTATCAAGAAATAAATAATGTTTTAGAACGACAAGGAAGAGGCACACATGTAATTGTTCATGCTCTAGTCCACTACAATTTCGTCAAATATTGTTAAGGTATCCTAGAAGTACATCATCATTTATTTCTACTCGTTTAAAATCTCGTACATGTACTGGAAAAATAGTTAGTGCCCGCACCATTCGACGTGTCTGAAGAAGAGAAAATTATCCTTCGGTACATACAAAAATTCACTGAGAAATTAATAAAATGTAAGCTACACGTTGATATCAATACGCAATTATACATGAAACAGATAACTGGCAACGTGTTGTCTTCAGCAATGAAAAAAAAAGGTTGTTGATGAAACAGAAACTGTTTTTTGGATCCATTTGGTGTGGGTGTGGATTTTCCCTTTATATCAACACATACACACCCACACCCACAACCTAGTTCTGATAATTCAACGCAAAACAAAAGCGTTGCTTAACAAGCTTTGACTAGTCTAGACTAGCATTGACAGTACTTTCTCATAAACGGACTAGTCATAAGCATCATAGAAGATGATTCAGACTAGTGGCGGCACTTTTCTTCGGTTAGCTTTAATTGCATGGTGAATTAACAAGCGTCACTTTGTTATTTAGACGCCCTACACTGACGACAGTCGGTGGTTTAGATAGTAATTTGTTACCAGAACGTCCGTCAGATCTCTAAATATTGTAAGGTGGGATGTTCGAATCCACCTTTCCTCTCTTTCTTTTCTATTCTACTGACTAGTCTGGACGGATTGAACTGACAAAAAGGACCTGGCATGGCATGATTAGTGTTAGCATATTCTGGACTAGTCGAGGAATAGTTGTAGGACATTCTTCAAGAGGACATCCAGTCTTGATGGATACGCTAGATGTTTCAGATTAGACCTGACTGACAGTGTGGACATCTTAGACTAGTCATGTTGGGCATCCTCACTTGTTTTTTGCTTGCCTGAGGCCATTGAGATAGATAATAGAAAAGCAATTGAATTGATATAGATAGTGAGGTGCATTTCTATTGACTAGAGGTATTCATTTTATTTAATTATTTAGTTTTTATAAACATTGCAGAAATGAAAAAGGCATTAAAAAGTATGATTTGAGAGTCATTTGAGATTGCAAATATTTACATTAGAATTTGATAGTGATCAATTATTGCCATCAAGTACTGTTACAATACAATCATCATGATTTTTATTGAAATATATTATTCCTAAAAATATAAACGAAAAGGATAAGTTCTTTCTTTTCTTTTTATTATTCAATATTTGGTATTTTTTTTAATTTACTAGATGGTAACTTTTCATTATTTTCTTGATCAAGTCTTGAACGAATAACAATACGTTGATTAAACCGACGCCAACGAATACAAAG